TGATGTTCAGGTGTATATCAGTATGTAGCGTCTCTACTTTAAAGAGTCCTCTCCTGCTGATGTTCAGGTGTATATCAGTATGTAGCGTCTCTACTTTAAAGAGTCCTCTCCTGCTGATGTTCAGGTGTATATCAGTATGTAGCGTCTCTACTTTAAAGAGTCCTCTCCTGCTGATGTTCAGGTGTATATCAGTATGTAGCGTCTCTACTTTAAAGAGTCCTCTCCTGCTGATGTTCAGGTGTATATCAGTATGTAGCGTCTCTACTTTAAAGAGTCCTCTCCTGCTGATGTTCAGGTGTATATCAGTATGTAGCGTCTCTACTTTAAAGAGTCCTCTCCTGCTGATGTTCAGGTGTATATCAGTATGTAGCGTCTCTACTTTAAAGAGTCCTCTCCTGCTGATGTTCAGGTGTATATCAGTATGTAGCGTCTCTACTTTAAAGAGTCCTCTCCTGATGATGTTCAGGTGTATATCAGTATGTAGTGTCTCTACTTTAAAGAGTCCTCTCCTAATGATGTTCAGGTGTATATCAGTATGTAGTGTCTCTACTTTAAAGAGTCCTCTCCTGCTGATGTTCAGGTGTATATCAGTATTTAGCATCTCTACTTTAAAGAGTCCTCTCCCTCGCTCAGTGTTTCTCTCTCTCCTCCTCAGTGTGTAACTTCATGTGTCACGAGAAATGTCTGAAGACGCTGCGCTCAGCCTGTTCCTGCATGACCCCGTCTCTGGTGCTGGTGAGTAAAACAAACGCCCCCTGCATGAAGTTAATTGATCACTGAATGTTGCAGCATAATGAAGCAGAGAGGAGTTTATAGTCCTCACCTGTCCAGGTGCTGTCGCTCATCATTTACATTTTCTTAAATCATTTTTCCTTTTTTATGCTTATAAAGTTTTCACACAGATCCTGACTCGACAACATAAATGCATTTACAGATTAATCCAACTATTATTTCATTCATTTGTGGATGTTGTGTTAGCATTATCTAGCATTTTGTTAGCATTAGCTTCAGTTGTGTAAACATTCGCTTCAGTTGTGTAAGCATTATGTTGCATTGTGTTAGCGTCTCTTATCTTCCATCGTTTAGGTATTATCTTGTGTTGTGTTAGCGTTATCTTGTGTTGTGTTAGAGTTATCTTGTGTTGTGTTAGCGTTATCTTGTGTTGTGTTAGCGTTATCTTGTGTTGTGTTAGCGTTATCTTGTGTTGTGTTAGCGTTGTGTTAGAGTTATCTTGTGTTGTGTTAGCGTTATCTTGTGTTGTGTTAGCGTTGTGTTGTGTTAGAGTTATCTTGTGTTGTGTTAGCGTTATCTTGTGTTGTGTTAGCGTTATCTTGTGTTGTGTTAGCGTTATCTTGTGTTGTGTTAGCGTTGTGTTGTGTTAGAGTTATCTTGTGTTGTGTTAGCGTTATCTTGTGTTGTGTTAGCGTTATCTTGTGTTGTGTTAGCGTTGTGTTGTGTTAGCGTTATCTTGTGTTGTGTTAGAGTTATCTTGTGTTACATATACATTACATTTCCTTTAGCTGACGCTTTTATCCAAAGCGACTTACAATTACCAATCACAGGGACATTCTCCCTGGAGTAACTAAGGGCTAAGTGCCTTACTCAAGGGCACACTAGTGCTGGTGTTCCTGGCAGGATTTGAACTCACTACCTTCCGATCTTCAGCCCACCTCACTATCCATTAAACCACCACTATCCCCGTGTTGTGTTAGCATTAGCTTCAGTTGTGTTAGCGTTAGCTTCAGTTCTCTCTCTGCTGCCCCTGCAGGTTCCTGTCTCTCACTGCTTCGGCCCGGCGGGTCAGAAGAAGCGTTTCTGCTGCGTCTGCAGGAAACAGACGGAGGGAAACACGGCGCTGCGCTGCGAAGGTAAGACCTCCGTAATGACCAGTGAAACCAGCATGAAGTTAAGTACTTATATTTATATATAATTAAACTCTGATTTAAAACTGTTTACAAAAAGATTAAACACTCAGGGACAGTCAGTTGACCAACAGTTGGTTGGTTTGATGCTTGAATTAAATATTTGTTTTAATGTAAAGTGCCTTTAAGTATTTATAAAAGCCCTATATAAAATGAAGTGCATTTTTCAAGTTGAGACAAATCTGTTTTTCACGAATTGTTTAAGGATTTTTCTCATTTTCAAATATCTCATATTTGTTGTAATTAAAAAAAAATCGAGGAGTTTCTCGTTAATGTTTTGCCTGTGTGTGTGTGTGTGTGTGTGTGTGTGTGTGTGTGTGTGTGTGTGTGTGTGTGTGTGTGTGTGTGTGTGTGTGTGTGTGTGTGTTGCAGTGTGTGAGCTGCACGTGCACGCTGACTGCTCTCTCTTCAGCTGTGCAGACTGCCGCAGCTCTCAGGTGGACGGCACGCTGCAGCAGGTGAGGAAACATCGTTAACTCTCTGATATCAGCAGCTGTTCAAAGTCAACTTTATTGTCAATCTTTCAGTTTGTGTACAGACAGAGAGATCCAAATACCGTTTCCCACAATCCCGAATACAAAATACAAATATATATATTAAAACATGTATTGTGGTGACACGTTATTGGACATAATTCACCTCTCGTATTGTGTTGCCACACGGACCGTTTAGTGGGAACACCGGTAGCGTTAGCTTCCATTCCTGCTAGCTCGTCAGCAGAGCAGTTGATGTGATAACCTCTCTGTTATTAATGGCTAATAAAGATTGGAACTCTGTTCTTAATACACCGCCTCCGACTCCCTTTTCTTGGCACTCCACTGGTGACCTTGACTTTTCCGAGAAAGTTTCCGGGTAATTAACGAGCATGGCTGAACGCGATGTGTTCGTAAAGCTGACGGAATTCTGGGAGCACACCGCGGAGTCATGGTTCGCACACGTGGAGGCGCACTTCGCCTGCCGACAGGTCCGTGATGGGGACCTGAAATACTACCATGTGTTAGTAGCGCTGGGCAGCTCTGCGTCGTCCAGGTTGGTGGGTTTCATCGCAGCCCCCCCACATCATGGCAAATATGAGGCGATTAAGGCCCTTCTCCTTAAGACATTTAGCTTATCTGCTAAGGAGAGGGCCCACCAGATACTTGACATTCAAGGCCTAGGAGACAGCAAGCCATCCCAGCTAATGGAGAAAATGCTAAATCTGCTAGGGGGGGAGGATCCCCGGATTTTATTCACGGAGATTTTCCTGCGTCACTTGCCTCCCCGGGTCCAGACGGCGCTGGCCAACACGCCTGTCACGGAGCCCCGTGCTTTGGCTGAGGAAGCGGATCGTTTTTTCCTGGCGACACAACAGCCCGGGGCTGAGACGTTAGCCGCGACGCTCAGCGGTCCACCTGCAGTCAAGAAAGCGTGGCGGAGGCCGGACACGGCTGTGGCGAGCCGTCGTGGAGACGCCGGAGAGTGCGTTTACCACGCACGTTTCGGGACAAGGGCGAAGAGATGCATCGCTCCGTGCAGCTACAAACACCCGGGAAACGGAGGGGCCGGCGCTCAGTAGTGGCTCTGAGCATCGGCGGCACGTGCAGGCTCCTCTTCGTCAGCGACAGCGTTTCGGGGAGCCTGTTTCTGTGTGACACGGGCGCTCAACGGAGCGTAGTTCCGCACGTACGTCGTGAGGCCTATGTGTCTGTGCATCGGAGGACAGCGTTTCAGCTGAGATTTCGTGACAGCGGACATTTCTTTTCCCCTCCTCGGAGCGGATTTTTTGTGTGCTCATGGACTCTTAGTGGACGTTAAGAATAGGCGTTTGGTTGATGCCTTAACGTTTTCTTCCCTCGTGTGCACACTTGGCAGCTTAGCGTACGACGGGCTGTCAGGCTCGCTGTCAGGGGCAGACACGTTTCTCAGACTGTTGGCCGAGTTTCCAGACCTGTCGCTACCCACCTTCTCTGCGCTTACCACTAAGCATGGCGTGGAACACCACGTCACTACCCTGAACCCTTCTAAGCTGGCTGTAGCGAGGGCGGAGTTCGCAACCATGGAGCGCCTGGGCATTGTCCGCGGCTCCGACAGTCCTTGGGCTTCCCCCCTGCACGTCGTCCCCAAACCGAACGGCGGGTTCCGCCCGTGCGGGGATTACCGCCGACTCAACGTCGCCACTACGCCTGACCGCTATCCGGTGCCGCACATTCAGGACTTTTCGGCGCATCTGGCCGGTACGGGGGTGTTTTCCAAGGTGGACCTGGTGCGTGGATACCACCAGGTGCCCATGCACCCCCTGGACATTCCCAAGACAGCAGTGATAACGCCTTTTGGACTTTTTGAGTTCCTGCGGATGCCTTTTGGACTCAAGAATGCCGCTCAGACGTTCCAGCGCCTGATGGATTCGGTGCTGCGGGACCTGCCGTTTGTGTTTGTCTACCTCGACGACATACTCGTCGCCAGCGCTTCAGTGCAGGAGCACCTGTCCCACCTCCGAGCCCTTTTCACGCGGCTCAACGAACACGGATTAATCATCAATCCTGCAAAGTGCCAGTTCGGGGTGTCGGACATCGATTTCCTGGGGCACCGCGTCACCAAGGGCGGTGCGACACCTCTGCCAGCGAAGGTGGAGGCTGTTGCGGCTATTCCTCGCCCGCTCACAGCCCGGTCGCTCCGTGAGTTTCTGGGGAGGGTGACTTTCTACCACCGTTTCATCGCCCGGGCCGCACACATCATGCGGCCGCTGTATGAAGAGTTGAAAGGCAAGACCCCTGTCCAGGAGATCGACTGGACAGCAGAGGCGGACGGCGCTTTTGCTGAGGTCAAGACCGCGTTGGCTCAGGCGGCTTTGCTGGCATCATCTACGGCTCCCATCTCCATCACCACGGACGTGTCGGACTACGCGGTCGGCGCAGTGCACAAGCAGTGGGTGGAGGGCGCTTGGCAGCCGCTCGCCTTTTTCAGCGGCCAGCTGACGCCTAGAGAACGCAAATACAGCGCCTTTGACCGGGAGCTCCTCGGACTTTATTTGGCCGTGCGGCACTTCCGTTTCATGCTGGAAGGCCGTGAATTTACGGCGTTTGTCGACCACAAGCCGCTCAACTTCGCCATATCAAAAGTGGCGGAGCCTTGTCGGCACATCAGCAGCGGCAGCTGTCCTACATATCGGAGTTCACTACGGACATTAAGCACGTGGCTGGCAAGTCGAACCTGGTTGCTGATTGCCTCTCCAGGGTCGTCATCGGTGCCGTCCAGTTGGGCCTGGACTATACTCGCATGGCGGCGGACCAGGTCACAGATCCCGGCGTCCAGGCTCTGAAGGTGGAGAGCGCGGGGCTGCGCTTGGAGGACGTGGTGTTCGGCGACGCGGGCATTACTCTCCTGTGTGACGTCTCTACGGGCCTGGCGCGGCCTGTCGTCCCTGCCAGCTGGAGGCGTCCTGTGTTCGAGGCTGTGCACGGCCTGTCACACCCCGGCGTTAAACCTTCAGTACGTTTGGTAGCGGCGAAGTTCGTTTGGCAAGGACTGAAAAGGGACGTGAGGACTTGGGCCAGGGAGTGCGTGGCTTGTCAACGCGCTAAGGTGCACCGCCACACGAAGGCTCCGTTGGAGCGTTTCCTGGTGCCTGAGAGGAGGTTTGATCACGTCAACATTGACCTGGTTGGTCCGTTGCCTTCCTCTCAGGGGTTTTCCTACCTCCTCACCATGGTGGACAGAACGACCCGTTAGCCGGAGGCGGTTCCGCTCGTTTCGACATCATCCGCAGACGTTGCCCGGGCCTTCATTGCAACGTGAAAATGTCGTTTTGGCACCCCGTCAGACATTTCTTCAGACAGGGGCTCTCAGTTCACGTCCGAGCTCTGGAACGCTGTGGCAGGCGGTTTGGGGGTTAAGCTGCACAGGACTACCGCTTACCACCCTCAGGCTAACGGCCTCTGCGAGCGCTTTCATCGCTCCATGAAGGAGCGTCCATCAAGGCGGCCATCAAGGCTGGCCTTACGGACGGTAACTGGGTCGACAAGCTGCCCTGGGTGATGCTGGGCCTGAGGACCGCACCTAAGGAAGATCTACAGTGTTCTACAGCGAAGATGGTCTATGGTCAGCCGCTGAGAGTTCCGGGGGATTTCCTCCCAAATGCATCAGCTCCCTGGTCTGCCACGGCCCAGCGAGTTTTTCTGTGTGACGCGGCGGAGGCTTTCGCTCCAGTCCCGACTACTCAGCACGGTGCGCCAGGGTCTCAAGTTCCCGCGGAGCTACGCTCGGCTGGGCACGTCTTCATTCGTCACGACGCACACAGAGGCCCCCTGCAGCCCCTTACGATGGACCTTTCCGGGTTTTGGAACACGGTGAAAAACACCTGGTGGTCGACATGGGCGGTAAGGCTGAGCACGTCTCGGTTGACCGGGTGAAGGCTGCTCACTTGGACGTGGACCGGCCGTTGGTGCTGGCTCGGCCGCCGAGACGGGGCCGACCCCCGGCTTGGATTCCTGTCAGGGAGTGTGGACCTGTTGTTCCGGTCCCTCCTCTGTCAGGGGCCGCACGGGCAGAGGTCGCTGTACCGACTCCGGTGCGCAGGTCTCGTGGGGGCAGGCGGATTGTTCCTCCCCGCCATACGGATTTTGTTTACAAGTGAATTCTGGGGAGGCTTGTGTGGTGACAAGTTATTGGACATAATTCACCTCTCGTATTGTGTTGCCACACGGACCCTTTAGTGGGAACACCGGTAGCGTTAGCTTCCATTCCTGCGAGCTCGTCAAGCAGAGCAGTTCATGTGATAACCTCTCTGTTATTAATGGCTAATAAAGATTGGAACTCTGTTCTTAATACACCGCCTCCGACTCCCTTTTCCTGGCACTACAGTATACTATATACCTATATGTATACCAGGATGTCCCGCTGCATGTTCGCCAGCATGCTTTCCTCATTCTGACCCACAATCCTTTGCACAGTACTTATCAGAGGGTCAAAGTTCAAGGAGATGAGGAAGTAGTTTGTTCTTATTGTCATGAGCTCATAAGCTGCGGTACTTCAAGTATATAAACCTGTGTGTGTGTGTGTCTGTGTGTGTGTGTCTGTGTGTGTGAGAGAGTGTGTGTGTGTGTGTGTGTGAGCGTGTAAGTGTGTGTGCGTAATTAATGATTGAGTGTTATTGATCAGTTGGACTGATCGCCTGCTGCTGTCACACACTCTTTAATCAAAGACTTCTGTTGGAGAGCTGTCTGATCAGTGTGTGTGATCACTGTTAGTGTGTGTGTGATCAGTGTGTGTGTGTTCACTGTTACTGTGTGTGTGTGTGTGATCAGTGTGTGTGTGTGTGTGTGTGTGTGGTAATAAGCTTCTCTTCCTTTTAAAAGAAAGTCAATATCTTTGAGAGACGGATGACTCTGATCCGGTTCACCTCCTCTCCGGTGCGTCGACCAACATCGAGAGAGGAAGATTAGAACACAGGAAGTGATCCAAACACTTCAAACCTCCTTCTTCTGTAGTTGATCTTAGTTTTTGGGTCTAATCGATGGTGACCTTGTTTTCCTCCAATGACCTCTGACCGGGTCTACTTTCTGTTGGCTGCAGGATACGTTCCACCACCACTGGAGGGAGGGGAACCTCCCGGCGGCGGCGCGCTGCGACGTGTGTCGGCGCTCCTGCAGCTCGTCTGACGTGATGACAGGGACGAAGTGTGAGTGGTGCGGCATCACGGTGAGAAACAACAACAACAACAACAACACACTTCCTACTAACCTTTCACGAGGTTTCAAGAGCTCCAGACGTAGAACACGGATCAGCCTGCAGAGAACAAACAGACCTCTGCCTCAGGACCCTCCTGGTCCGCACACCTGTTCCTGTCCGTTGTTTAGTATCCTCACCTTTTTGATATTTCCATTTCATTCAATTTGAGCTTTTTATATTATTAGTTTCTGCTTCGTGACCTTGAGACGACGCTGTTGTTAAAGTGTGCTGTATAAATGCATTATTATATTATTACAAGCAAGGTCATAATGAGTGTGTGTGTGTGTGTGTGTGTGTGTGTGTGTGTGTGTGTGTGTGTGTGTGTGTGTGTGTGTGTGTGTGTGTGTGTGTGTGTGTGTGTGTCTGTGTGTGTGTGTCTGTGTGTGTGTCTGTGTGTGTGTGTGTGTGTGTGTGTGTCTGTGTGTGTGTGCAGACTCACGTGGCATGCTACCTCAGCGTGCCAGCAGAGTGCACTCTGGGTCGTCTGCGCGGCATGATGCTTCCTCCCTCCTGCGTCCGCCTCAACTCCAGAAACTTCAGCAAGATGCACCTGTACCGAATCACAGAGAGCCCGGAGCAGGGTACACGCACGCACACACACACACACACACACACACACACACACACACACACACACACACACACACACACACACACACACACACACACTCACAGGCGCGCACACACACACTCACACACATACACACACACACACACACACAGGCGCACACACACACTCACAGGCGCACACACATACACACACACACACATACTCACAGGCGCACACACACACTCACAGGCGCACACACACACAAATGTAAATTGTAAACAAGCCATCTGTATGTCAAATATGTCTTATATGTCTTAAATGACATGATGAATTGGAAATGGGGGACCCTGATGTAAACAAGACGAAAGTCTTTCTCTGGTCTGCATCCCCTTAACAATTGTATGTTTTGAGCTGTACTGTACTGTACCCAATATACAAGCTGTTAATACACTTTTCAATCAATCAATCAATCAATCACGCACACACACACACACACACTCCCACAACCAGGTGCACACACACTCCCCCCCCCCACACACACACACACACACACACACACACACACACACACACACACACACACACACACACACACACAAGACCACAACCAGGCACACACACATACACACTCAGGTGCACACACAGGCACACGCACATACACACACACACACACACGACCACATCCTCTCTGATGCCGTGTGAAAAGCACTTGAGCTGAGGAAATAACACAAACACCTTGTAATGTGTTTGTGACAGCGTTTTGAAACAAACTGCTTAGTATCCCATGGGGGCCTGCCTGCAGACCCCCACTCTCAGGACACCAGAACTGTCCTGAGAGTGGGGGCCTGCCTGCAGACCCCTCTCTCAGGACACCAGAACTGTCCTGAGAGAGGGGCCTGCCTGCAGACCCCCACTCTCAGGACACCAGAACTGTCCTGAGAGAGGGGCCTGCCTGCAGGCCCCCACTCTCAGGACACCAGAACTGTCCTGAGAGTGGGAGCCTGCCTGCAGGCCCCCACTCTCAGGACACCAGAACTGTCCTGAGAGTGGGAGCCTGCCTGCAGACCCCTCTCTCAGGACACCAGAACTGTCCTGAGAGTGGGGCCTGCCTGCAGGCCCCCACTCTCAGGACACCAGAACTGTCCTGAGAGAGGGGCCTGCCTGCAGACCCCCACTCTCAGGACACCAGAACTGTCCTGAGAGTGGGGGCCTGCCTGCAGACCCCCACTCTCAGGACACCAGAACTGTCCTGAGAGTGGGAGCCTGCCTGCAGGCCCCCCACTCTCAGGACACCAGAACTGTCCTGAGAGAGGGGCCTGCCTGCAGACCCCCACTCTCAGGACACCAGAACTGTCCTGAGAGTGGGGAGCCTGCCTGCAGGCCTCCACTCTCAGGACACCAGAACTGTCCTGAGAGTGGGAGCCTGCCTGCAGACCCCTCTCTCAGGACACCAGAACTGTCCTGAGAGAGGGGCCTGCCTGCAGACCCCTCTCTCAGGACACCAGAACTGTCCTGAGAGAGGGGGCCTGCCTGCAGGCCCCCACTCTCAGGACACCAGAACTGTCCTGAGAGTGGGGGCCTGCCTGCAGACCCCCTCTCTCAGGACACCAGAACTGTCCTGAGAGTGGGGGCCTGCCTGCAGACCCCCACTCTCAGGACACCAGAACTGTCCTGAGAGTGGGGGCCTGCCTGCAGACCCCCACTCTCAGGACACCAGAACTGTCCTGAGAGTGGGGGCCTGCCTGCAGATAGGTGCAGATAATCTGCACAGATTAGTGTGTGTGTATTAATGTGTGTATTAATGTGTGTATTAATGTGTGTT